TTTATGTCTAAGTTCAAGTCTGACTTAGTATAGATCTGGGGGGCTTTCCTCTCTGAAGGAAATGCTACCCAAATTTTTGCTAGGTCAGGGAGTTAGACAAATTTTGACTTTTTGGGATCGAAAGTTTGACTTTTTGGATTAGTGTATTTTCTGCGATGTCACTTTTCCTACGGGAGGCGCTGCCGAAATTTTCCTAAGTTAGAGGAGTTAGCCTATATTTGGACAAGTGACGACCTATGTAGGGGAGGCTACGGCGAGATCCACCTTACGCTGAGTGCTATCTAGAGGTGRACCTAGACTTGGTTGGATATGACGGCTCGAGTAAGGTCAGGAGGTGAAAGTTACTCTCCCTGAGCGCGTAAACTTAGCTTGAGATTGGTCTGGCTTATGTCACAGGTCTCTTTTATCAAGTCGCTTCAGGACGTGGGATGGACTTAGCTTGATCCTATTAGGATCACCTTCTGTTATCACAGATAACAGGTCGGTCAACTTCAACCCACTCTCCTTACTCAACCTAAAGAGGCTTCAACCCTGCTGATATTTTCTGTTTTGTTAAGGTTTCACCCGGACTTTTATTGAATGGTCATTTAACAAAGCTACTGAGTATTTACTTAAGGTTGGTTGGCTGGAGGTTGGGGCTTGCATGACTGAGGCAAAGGGTATGAGCATGGAGATTGGTTGGAGTTGACTCTGTGTAGTGTATGGACTTCTGCTTGACTCTTTGATGTGATTGCATGTATGTTCTGTGACTGGGATTATTGGATTGGACTGCCCTGCGATCTTATATATGTGCATGAGGAGACCCACTGTGATTGTGAGATGTGATCGTCACACGTTTATTCCCATGTATGTTTATATGTGCATAATGCGTACCTATGTGGGATACTTGCGTGGCCTGAAGAACCCGCATATTGAGGGCTTAATTGGGAATAGGGGGCTAGCAGAAGAGGAATGACCCCTCTATTTATATATACGCTTCTGAGGAAATTGTGGTTGGATGTTAGCCCTGAGCCTAGAATACGAAGGTCCTCGCCAAGGACGACCCAGGTCCCAGGACTAGCTCTGAAAAGGTCCACTTCCGATAAAAGTCGAAGGTACTTTCCTTGTTGGGATTTGTTTTGGTGGAACGATAAAGTTCCGGGCAGAAGGGTCAGCGTGTCTCTGGTGATACGCCAGACAACTGACCACCGCTCCAAATCCCTCCCTGCCCTAGGGACCGTCTTACCTCGCACCCTTTGGGATACCTCAGGGTGCAGAAGGCGGTAAAGCCCTCAGGCCGGTTTTGCGCCCGCTAAAGGGTTACCCCCCCCCGTAGCGCGCACTTCAGCCGACGCCTGAGCATCGGAAGCAACCGCATGGCTCAGAATAGGCGATTTGGGTATGGGCACCACATAATGCGCCGTCATCGCAATTACTCACGTAGAGCTGCATAGTGAATTGATATGCATGGATCCTACGTTCGAGCCATCTTATACTAAACCTTGGGTACGGCAGTTACCGACTTCCACTGCGCAAAGTCATGGGTTGGATACTAAAGGGCTAGGAGTGTGTCGCGTTATACGTCCTTTGCGTTGTTCAGTACTTGTGTGCATGTGTGCGTGTGCTTTACTTTTATGTACCTTATAGTGGTGTGCGCGTGGCGTGTGGGATACGTCCTAGTCGACCGGCGACGAGTCGCGCTTGGGACCTCGTTCCCCCCAGATGTCGGTTCGCGTGCGGGTCCGATAGAGGCGTAGTACCGCGCGTACCCCTTATGCTACAGCGAACGAGAAACGTCGTCGGCTGGTCCACCTCTGCGATTGTAACTGATCAGCTTTCGTACTGTGGACTGGTAGCTCGGCGGGGATACGCCCACCGAAGGGAGGTGACAACTCCCGTAAGGTGGAGGTAGTCATGCCTCGCGTAGGCCCTGTCTTATCGTAGGGGCTCGCGAGAGGTATGGCTGGCGCACCCGGCCGGAGCGGCTTATGGAGGCTCCGTGTGTGTACCACAACAGGATGTGTACTCTGACTCCTGCGTGACGTGGCCGGGAGGGTCCCGCGCTACCTCTGAGTGGTGTCGGGCTGATGCGCTCGACAGGTGGCGCCGTTGCCGGGGATGACGGTTGCCTGCCGTTCTCCATGGTAGAACGACATTCGGGCACTAGGATAAGGAAGAAATCAGGTGTGAATGAGAGATTTGAAGTGAGTCTATAAGTAGGATTATAGGAGGGATTGTATGACTATAGCAGCTATGTGGGATAACTTACAGCTTAGGTAGACCTTGTGAGTGAAGGAAGGGGACGTGGGTGTCAGTTAAAGTCTGAAACACACAAGGGCTAAATGGTTAGCTCGATAGGCTAATGCTGGAGTGAGAGTGCTGAATAAAGTTGCCTTTGTACCTCGTCTGATTACAGGGAAGTTAAGTGAAGGAGAGACTTCTAAAATGACAGGCGGCATAGGCGACAGTTCAGGCAAGGTCCTAACCCTCGATGATCTCATCGAGGCGATGGACAAGCGGGAGAGAACGCCAAGGAGTGTCCCCAAAGTCGACACCTTCCACTTCAATGGGGAACGAGTCTCTGAGTGGCTGAACCTAGTGGAGCAAGCCTTGGTGGGAGTATCAGACGGGACGAAATTTAAACGCATTATGCAGTATGTGCTTCATAAGCACCATCCGGAAGTGCAGAAGGTGGTCGACGACGCTAACGGCGACTGGGCTAAATTTAGGGAAGGGATGCAACGGAAGTACAGGCTGGGAGACGGCCTGCTGACTATGGCGGACCTAGAGGCAATGAATAGGGACGACTTCACCACCATTGGGGCATTCCTGCAAGAATTCAAAAAGAAGGCGAGAAAGGTACATGGGATATCAGAGGAGGCGCAGTGCGCCGTCTTCCTGGGACTGCTCACCCCATCTGAAACAGTTGAGCTAACAAGCCATGGGGGAGGAAATGCCAAACTTACCTGGGCCACCATTGACAGAGGGGTGGAGGTTGGAGGCCTAGATCAGGTCAAGCAGCACCAGGTGAGGCTGCAGAGGCAGAAATGGAAGGACAGGGATGCGGTTGGGTCGCCAGGATTAAAGAAGATCATAACCGACGTATTAGCAGGGCTAGACCCGGTGATACAGCGGAAGGTGACGGCGGCATTCCAGGAAAAGGGCAAGGGGGCCGTGGTAGAGGAGGCTACCCAGGAAGGATGGGAAGAGGAGGAGCCGATACTGCCATACCTTACGAAGGCGCAACGTAAGCAGCGCAATCTAGCACAAGGCGGACAAGGGTCAGGAAAGGGTCAGACGCCTCAAGTAGTGGTAGCGGCATCTCCGAGTTCGTCCGGGCCATCAAGTAGTGCGGGCCCATCGCAAGCATCAGTGCCACCATTTGGGCACTGGCYGTGRCCCCTAATTAATACCTATGTACCCTGGGGTGGCCCAGCGCCGTCTGGACAGGTAATACCCTATGCTGGGCCCCAGGCAAGTATGCCACCTCCGAGCTACCTCGCCGCCCAGACTCGGTCAGCGGTACCACCGACGCCAACGCCCACACAAAGTTCACAAGGCAGTGTGACGGGTGGTGGTAACCAAGGCCAAGGAAACCAAGGGAATGGAGGAAGGGGCGGTGGGCGAGGACGTGGCAGGAATGGCGGTGGCCGAGGAGGCCAATGGGGCAACCAAGGTGGCCAAGGCAATCAAGGCGGCCAAGGCAACCAAGGGGGCCAAGGTGGTGGAACGGCCCGATTTGATTGGAGGACTGCCATATGTCAGCACTGTAACCAGCAAGGTCACACTATTAGGTTTTGCAACATACGGAGAGAGGACAGGAAAAATGGACTGATTTATTCTAATATGGATGGGGACATTTACAACCAATTCGGAGATTTTATTGATAGGAAGGTTGGTGGAGTTAGGGCGGAGGCCCAACAAAGGTTGGCAGCACGACAACCACCCCCTGCCACGTTCAGGCTATGGCAGGAGAAGGAAGAGCTGCCAATTGGAGTTGAGGAAGTAGGAGGCGACGAGGAAGTAACCCAGAGGCTATAGGCCGGGGATGTAAGAGAAACACCCATAATCATCGAGTCGGACGATGAGGGTGACGATGAAAAGGTAGAGTCGGCGGTAGTCCTGCTGAGTAAGATGGAGGACTTATCGGACAAGGTAGGGAGATACCAACGGAAGTTGGTAGACCTCTGCGAGGGAGTGAAGGAATGGAGGGCTAACCTCCCTAAGGTCTTCCTTTATGACTCTGGTCCGGAATCCATGTCGGGGCGGCCCGGAGTGACCACTGTGGGGACGGGCCCGCGATCAGGGATGATGACTAGGCCCCCTACCCCGCAAGCTAGGCTGGCTCAGGCAGCCCGCACTCGAAGCCAAGCCAAGGCAGGTGCGAGTCAGGGACCTCCTCAGAAGGAACCAGAACCAGAAAAGAGGAAGGAAACTGTAGAGGTAGAGGATGATGATGATGATGAAGGGGAAGATGACCGGTTACGTCAGGAAGAAGATCAAAGGGCCGAACAACGAGCCAAGAAAAGAGGAAGCCAGGAAGAAGTGGAACCCATCATGTGGGACGTGTCACCAATGAGAAAGAAGTATGCGGTCCGGCTAGAGGAGGGGTTTGATGTAGAGCGAGTGATTGACAGGCTACTTGAGGGCCATAATGATCTAATGAGCCTCAAGGAGATCCTGGTATCTGCGCCTAGACTCCGCAACGAGTTTAAGGGTAGGCTGTCAAGGCGACTGGTGCCGAACGTCCACCTCAGCGTGATCCTACCCAAGGAGATGGAGTGGGCGGAGCCAGGGACAAAAATGGATTGGAAGTGTGTAGCTTGCGGCGTAGTGGATCTAGCGGTAAAGGGCTCGAAGTGCCCAGCCATGGTAGATACGGGTGCCGAAATGAACATTATCCAGGAGGCCGACGCCGTCAGATTTGGACTGGAGATAGACTGCTCGGACTGTGGTATCCTGCACGGGGCCAACAACAAGGCTGTGTTTTGTGGAACAACCTCGAATGTGCTACTGGAGATTGGCAGGGTGAAGGCCCGGGCCTGTTTCTTTGTGATGCCTGATGTGGACCACAGCATGCGGGAATTACGAAGTGGTTACCTGCCGGAACACTGGGCCAAGGAGTCTCAGGAACAGACCCAACCCTGGCTCGTTCACGATTGAGGAGTCAGAAGACGCACATCGGAGGCTTAGGGCAGAGCCCGAGGAGGAAGTAGAAGGTGAAGCCTTCTCGCTCAGCCTGTCGGATGTGGGAAAGGCCATGGATATAGTGGCCATGCACGAGATGGCCGATCCGGATGCCATTCAGGCGTTGAGGGAGCAGGTTCTAGAGTATCCCCAGATAGGAGAAATGAAGTTGGTCTACCGGCTTCCTAAGGGGGGAATGGATCCGGCGGTGGCGCAGGCACAGGCACGAGCGGCAAGTCAGCCTTTTTTAGGGGCCGACTCAAGCAGGGTGTCCAAAGGCGGTATAAAACGATAGACAAAAAGTGCCGCCCAAATCCCGTTCTGGTTACCGAGGACGAGGAGGTGTACTACGAACGGGAGCGAGTGTTGATACGGCAGATGAGGGAAAGCGCGTCAGAAGGGCCATGCCGTATTAATGAGGAGAACGAAGGGAAGTTGATAGTGGGAGAACCAGACTTCCTACTACCTCGGGAAAGAGCTCTGATGGTGAAGCTGATGAAGAAAAGACATCGCGCCTATGCGTTCAGCGACGAGGACCGTGGCAGGTTGGATGTGGACAAGATTTCAATGATTCGCATCCATACCGTGCCGCACGAGCCATGGAATCTAAGAGGGGCGCGATACCCGGATCCGGACAAAGAGAAGAAGGTAGTGGACTACCTCGCTGGCAAAATACGTACGCACGTCGCCGACTACTCGAGCGGACCCTACGCATCCCCGTGGTTTTGTTTTATTAAGCCCAATGGGACATTTAGGTGGGTACAGGACTTGCAGAGACTGAATGCGAGTGCGGGATGCAAGTGGGCTACCAAATGCTGATGCGGTGTTGGAATCGTGCGCTGGGAGACCGATAATTTCACTTATTGACCTCTATTCCGGATATGACCAATTTCCGGTCTACCCGCCGGACCGACCAGTGACAGCTATGCACACGCCTCGAGGGCTTATCCACATGAATGTGGCTCCGCAAGAGTGGACGAATGCGGTGGCAATGGTCCAGAGGAATATGATCCAGGTCATGCAGACAGTTAGTCCACACATCACGCAACCATACATCGATGACCTGGCAGTGAAAGGGCCGCGAAAAAGGGAAGACGATGAGGTCCTGCCTGGAGTAAGGCGGTTTGTTTGGAGGCACGTTCAAGACCTTGATAAAGTCTTGGGCTTGCTTGAGGAGTACAACCTTACGGCCAGTGGGTCTAAGTCTAAGCACTGTATGAGGGAAGCGACTATCTTGGGGTTCGTCTGTAATGAGAACGGCCGGCGACCGGATGTTAAGAAGACGGATAAGATAGTTGAGTGGCCGGTGCCATTCCGTTCTGTAACAGATGTAAGGAGCTTCCTAGGTACGTGTGGGTTTTGAAGGTCCTTCGTCAAGAACTTTGCGGCAAAGACAGAGCAATTAAGGAAGCTGGTCTGGCAGGATCAGGAGTGGACCTGGGGTGAGGATCAGGAAGAGGCTGTGGCCAACATGAAAGAGGAGTTCCGGGAAGGAGGATTGGTGCTGGGAGCGCCCAATTATGATGCTACGGAGACGAGACCATTCATTGTGGAGACCGATGCAGGACCGACGACCTTGGGTGGAGTTCTAATCCAAGCAGACGTCAAGGGGAAGAAGAGGCCGTTGCGCTTTGAGAGTCGCACGCTATGTACGTCAGAGAGAAACTACTCCCAATTCAAGAGGGAAACTCTCGCCGTCCTTTATTGTCTGCGGATTTTTTGAAACTACATCTTCGGCAGGAGGTTCATCTTGAGGGTAGACCCAACGGCTCTGGCCTTCTCCCTGAGGAATTATGTTCCGTCCGATCCAACAGTTGCCAGGTGGTTGACATACATCTGGATGTTCAATTTCGAGTTGGAACGGATCCCAGGGAGCAAGAACAGGGCAGATGGGCTAAGTCGCATCAACGGGGATAGGCAGGACGGGGAAGCTGTAGAGGATACGCCCCCTGTTGATGGCTTTCTGGACCAGGACGAGGACATCCGCCTCCACATCAATAAGTGGTCCCCACGAGTCCCCAGCTGCGTTGGCCATCCTATCTGGCACGCGCCTAAGGGGTATGAGCGGAAAGCTGAGTTGGTGTTCAAGCCTTTCGAAGAGGAGGATCCCTGGGTGGTAAGGACATCCAATGGATGACCAAGTTGGCACTCGCAGGTAGCCATTGTATGGTGGATGAGGTACGGACAATAGAGAAGGGCCCGGACAGGGTAAAACGTCACGAGGAAGTAATGGAAGGAATGTACCTCCTCGTCAACACGCTTCTGCAGGAGTCCCTTGATTTGGAAAACTCGCTAAATCTAGCCGAAGGAAGAGATACTATTTTGGAGAGTCAGGATGACGAGTTTGAAGAGGGAGAGATCAAGGAGGCATTCCGCGCAGAGGAGTATGAAGGGATTTACCTAGAGCTGGGACTTCTCTTATCCTACGAGATGCGTGATAGAGATGCAAGCCATAGGGCGCAGATGATGAGGGATCGCTACCTAGTAAGGGACGGTCATCTCTTTGTAAGAAGGAAAGTTGGGAACCCCAGGCGGGTGGTATGTGGTCGCAACCGTCAGATCGACGTCATAGCAGCACTTCACGATGGCATTGCAGGCGGACACCGGGGAATTACTGCCACATATGCCAAAATAAGTGTGCTATACTACTGGGACGGGATGATGGAGATGGTTAGGAAATTTTGTCGTTCCTGTGTGCCGTGCTTGGAGCAGTCTCGTCTAAGGCGAGGAGAGCCACTGCATCCGAGGCTGGAGAGAGAGTTCGAGGTCGTAGTACACCTCGACTTATTGTTCATGCCCCTTGGAGATCATGACTACAACTATATCTTCGATGCGCGCGACAACCTATCTGGCTTCATAGATGGACGGGCAATCCGTACGAAGACTGGGTCAGTTCTGGTCAGCTGCATCGAGAAGTATTACATACGCTACCCGTTCGTTAGGGAATTCATAATGGAAAGGGGGTCGGAGTTCACCTGTCAGGAGGTGCAAGAGCTGCTGTCAAGATATGGGGTAGTGGCTAACTACACCACGGCCGCCCACCCACTGACAAATGCTCCGGTGGAAAGGGGTCATAGTACCATTACGGCTCTACTAGCAAAACGAACCGAAGGTAAGCCCAACCAGTAGCCGAGGTATCTGAGGGCCACCTTCTTCGTTGAGAACATCACACTGAAAAGGACCACTAAGTACGCGTCGGCCACACTGTGGTATGGAAGACATGCTACCTTTCCAATCGAGAGCTTCCTAAAGACTTGGACGCGTCAGCACTTGGAGGTAAATCTGTCTTTCGAAGAATTGCTCAATATTCGAGCTCGGCAGGTGGGCGCGATTGCGGAAAGGGTCCAAGAGGCATCCGACCAGGTAGAGAGGAGCCGTATGGACGATAAGGCTTGCTGGGACCAGTCGGCTCATGTAAGAAAGGTACCTTTGGTAGTTAGGGACGTCGTGCTCTTGTATGATTCATCCCTGGAAAAACAATGGTCCAGGAAGCTGGACAAGAGGTGGTTAGGTCCCTATCGGATCGTGCGATGCAGAGAGTTCGGCGCATACCAGATCGAGGAGCTGAATGGAACAGAGTTGAAAGACTGGGTGTCAGGGACGATGTTGAAGAAATTCGTGGCCAGAGAAGAGGTGAGATAGGCAACCCAGTCCCCTTAGAATGAAATAGATGGGTTTGTAGATTAGGAGGATTGCTTGGGGGCATGTGCTTGGTTTGGCCTGAGTGTGTCTCTTCGTCGCCTGTTTGCTTACCCCGGTGCCTGCCTATTGTCTCCTTCGCCTGTTGTGCAGGAATGACTTGCAGCCATGCCAAGAGGAGGGAGGGGGACACGGCCACCACGACGGCCAGCGGGAGCATCAGGAGGACATGGACGGCATGGGCCTTACCGTCGAGCAAGCACTCCAGTATATAATGATGGGGATATCGAGTTATTCATGGACGAGTTATGGGGCCACGCTGACCATATGGGGTGGACCGTGACTTAGACGGTCGAGAGGTTGAGGGGAGTTGGCAAGTTTATGGAGCCCATCGCACAGATTCGCAGGGAGGCTCGAACGAGGTCGGAAGTAGAGGTGCGGATGCAGGAACTGCGACCGCCACCTGTGGGGCCTGATGGCAGACCTATTCGGCTGGAGATTGGGAATGCAGAGGAGTTCATCCCAGCATTCGAGCAATTTATGCAGAACCAGGGAATACTGCGAAGCGAGTGCGTGACGACGTTACCCCTGTGGACCCGAAAGGCGGAAAGACCTTTGGCCAGACAGATCATGGACATGGCCCGGGATTGGGATGGTTGTGGAGCGCACTTGAGGGCGGCATTCCGACAGCGAGAACCACCTCAGCCTAGAGTCGAAAGGCGCCTCAGGAGCGGCAGGTGGAGGGAACCTGAGCCCCCTGAGGATCCAACCTCGCGGAGAGGACGGAAGGCGCTTGCTAGGCGGGAAGAGGAGGACGTGCCTAAGGCAGAACGACAGGAGGAGCACCCCGAGGGTGGACTGGGGCCAGTAGAGTTCCACCGCTATACTGGAGGAGGACTGGGGGAAGCGCCACAGCATATACAGGAAGAGATACCGGCCGTTGAAGGGTCATTGCAAGCATTGGAGGCGCATCTGGACGCTGCCTAGTGGAGAGAGCCGTCGATGAGTGAGAGGCGCATTGGGGCCATCGCGGAAGTACCACAAGAGGACGTTCCAGACCCTAAACGAGAGGAGGGGCCGAGTGCTACAAAAGGCCGGATTGGGGATGAGATCATAGACGTTGAGGAGGACACTCCCCCTCAGGGACCAGCCGTGGGGCTGAGGCTCGGTAGTCCACCCGAGAACCCGCCAGATACGAGGAAGGAAGTACAAAGGGGGGAAGTCTCGCTCGTGGTGCTCGAGATGGGCCTATCGCCAACGGGAATGGAGGCAAGTGAGGCTGAGAAGGCCAGTCTAAGGAGGGAGGCAGACAATCTGATTGATAACCATCTGGCCGCCACCGCTCTAGAGCAGTCTAATCTAGAAGAGGTCATACCTGGGGAGCCACCCCAGGGACCGGGTCAGGCCGAGAGAGAGGTGGAAACAGGAATCCCGGGGGAAGTCGAACATCATGCGGTAGAGGAAGTACTAGGAAAGGAAACGACTAAGGAGAAGCGGGCTAGAGTGGCAAGACGCTGGGAGGAAATCCGGCAGGAGGGACAAAGATTGGAAGCGGCTGGGGTACTCCCAAGCCCGCCACCGCCCTACAAGCCATATGGGCTCCGGGAGATGTGGGGAGAGTTTCTTGCTCGTCATGGCGAAGGGTTGACGACCCCAGGCAAGGTAGAGGTCGAAACCTCACAGAGAGCTGATGAGTATTTGGATCAGAGGATTCGCTCCGTATCCAAGACCTCCTTCAATAGGTATATGATGTTGGAGGCGGATCTGAGAGGGAAGGAGCTGAAGGAAGCAGGGCTGGAGTCACGGTTGGGGACCCTTGAGGCAAAAGTCCGTGAGCTCAGGGCTCTGGTGACTAGCCAGGCCGCCACCATCCTGGAATTGAGGAAGCAACTTCATGGCAGCAAGGATGGGGCGGAAGGCAGCAGGCCAGGGGGGCAGAGTCAACCGGGACATGGCGTATCAGAGCAACCAGCTGTGGCTGAGCCTCAACAAGAGGCACCTATGCGAAGAGTCATTTTGGAGCCTGAGGAGGCAGAGGCCAAGAGGAAGGCTGAGAGGGAAGCCTTCGAATTCAGAGCCCCTACGGAACTTGCGGTGCTACCCACGATGGCTGCAGACCCTGCCATGCCACCGTCACTTGAGGAGAGAATGCCCTCAGCCAGTGATGAGCCTCCCCAAGGCTCGACAGGAGGGTCCTTGGACGTGCTACTGGAAGCAGTCCACTCTATGCAGGAGGATGTTGGCTTGTTTTCACCAGAGTCCAAGTTGGAAGAGCCCCTGGAGAGCGAGATGGGAAGTGTAATGGAGGGCATCCTCGCAGGCAGGCCCCAGAGGTTGGATACTCCTGACTATGAGCCAGAGGGAGCAAGGGCGCAACTAGGGCCCAATCCGCGAGAGTCGGAGGCAGGATCTGAGAGACCCAGAGATGTGCCTCAGTGCCATGAGTTGGACGGAGAAGCCAGGGAAACCCCATCGCCAGCAGGGCCCCAGCGGAAGAAGAAAAGGCCTAGGAAGTCTTTTGACTCGACCTGCTTCTATTGTACGAAAGGAGAGCACAGGGCATTGCAGTGCCTCAAATTCCTAAAGGACCAGGCAGACGGGAAGGTCTCGGAGTATGATGGGAAGATGTATGATAGGCAGGGTAGAGTGGTGGAACGAGCTGTAGATGGGGGTAGAGCTCAGTTGTACAGGCAGAACCAGGAGGAGATGAGTGAGTAGGGTCTGGTTCACCTGATTAAAAACTGGACATTTCTTTGACGATTTTGCTATTACTTAGGCAGGATGGACGCCTACGACGTTGAGTGTGTAGATGGAGCCTACGGCATGGGATGGCCGTTGTAACTAGGATCATGTAAAATAGGGGGCGTACACTAAGTGGCAATAAAATACTGAATTGTTTTGGGGACTTCTTGTGCAGATAACCATGTACTATATTCAGGGTGGTGTGAGTTGTTTTGTGTGGGTCCTGAGACGAGGTTATCCTGTGTATTCTAGGATGAGATATCTCATCCCTGAGTGTATATTTGAGTTGAGTGAGGGTTGAGACTATCCCTTGTACATGACGATCACTCTCACTCTCATATGTGTGGTTTTATCCTGATGTGTGGTGGATGTTGGATGTATGAGTGACATCTTGAATATCGGTATCTTATGAATGGAATGTATGTGAACTGCCTACCCTTCGGTGTACGTGGGCACTCTGCCCGCGGGCAGGTGACAAGGCCGGGTATAAGGAGGGGAAGCACAACCTGTCCTTGTGAAAGTGTGAGAATCCTAAGGGATTTGTGAGTCCTTGGGACTCAGATGCTTGCCATGCCGAATGTATGTTGTTGAGTTGTGATGAGGACCCATAAGTTGGTCTCTCAAGTTTGATTTGTGCTATGGTAGGGGTGTCTGGTTTTTTGAGGAGGCAACCCGCTGCATGCTGGGGGACCTATGGAGTAAGACCTCCCTCGTATGAAGGGTGGTTACCGGATCGGTGGCATGGTAAGCAAGGTTGGTATGATAAAGCCTGACGAGAAGGACCATGTTTGTTTTTTGGCCACTGTTGAGAGTTTGGAGAGGTCGCAAATAGTTTCTTTTGGGAGATGTCACTGGGATGCGTGGCTTCCTGCTCTGATCAAGTAAGGAAGTCACGGCCTTGTGCAGCTGGTGGTGATTCTGTTTGTAAATGTGGAGAGGTTGCCACGATCCCCTGTGTTGTCCCACAGAGGGCTGGTAAATACCTTTTATGTGTGACAGGCCTCTGCGTAGTCCCGCGGTGGGCCTGTATTGTTGCGACCCACCGTCCAGGCACATGTTCTACTCCTGGAACATGTATGAGAATACCAAGTTTACGGTAGAGTTTAGCATCACTAGGGCGCAACCCCTAGTGTCGGCTGCTGATCGGCACAACCTGAGCAGCGGGCCTACATCGGGCCTAGGGAGTAAAGACTTAAAGGGGTGTGGCCACCTAGGAGGGTTTTACTCCTGCGGACCGGCGTGGGATAAGGGTCGAGTCGAGTCTTTTTTGAGTCCTGATTGAATGCTTATCAGGAGAAAACCTATCGCGGCGCAACCTGCGAAGGCACTACCGCTGAACTAACAAGCGCGGTGGGCCGTAGACCTGGCACCCAGACTACGGTGGGCCAAGATGGAGACCTAGCCTACCTGTACTAGACTGCAGGAGGTGAGTTGAGGTGATTTATATATATATATACATTTGATTGTGAGAATTGTGGGAAGAAGGCGAAAACGCCTTCTTAGGTCTCGGTTAGGGCCCGCGCCCTTGGTCGAAGTCCTGTTCGTAGGGTAGGGGCCAAGGGCACCTAACGAGAAGTCGGCGGTTGTCTAGGACAAAGGGGAGAGGACGAGTAAGAGGAGCCGCTGAGACTTATGTTGTAGTACGTATGTCTAGTACACCGGCGTCCTAGTGTCAGGACAATGGAGACCCAGGTTAGAACCCTGGCGGCATATAGTTACAAGGGCTTGGATTGTTGGAGGCCTCAACCCTGAGTCTGTTGGCTGATCAGATTGGTTCCTCCCTCGTCAGCATTTGGAGTTGTGGTTGGATTTGTAGCTTTTGATCTGGCAAAGCGACGGGGACGTCGCTTAATATGGTCCGGTAAGCTGTCGGCGCGAATACCCTGACAAGGGTATCCGCCCTTGTCTTTGCAAGTGACCGGAAGTACGGGTAGAGGTCTAAAGTGTATCGCGCGAGACGCGGCTCCATCTGTTTGGTTACATGCGTAAGTTGCTTGGTTAGAATGGAGCGGGTGTGGGTGCGCGAGATTAAGGCGCGCGTGTGATTTTTCTACTTTGGATTATGCAACCGACATAGTTGGTCGGCCTGACTCTGGCTACTAGGAATAAGAGGTGCCCTTGGTAGACCGTTGGTAGTCTAACGTGCGGAGTAGGGTGCAGGGCGGCCACGGCGCAAGGCTGGCAAGCCGGCGTAGGAGCCTAGCGGTAGCGTCCCTAATGGGAGGCAAGAATGAGGCCTGGGGGCTGCGCCGCACCTGTTCATATGAATACCGCACTAACCAATACCAGGCTTGGGGTTAGCCCTGTAGGTTACAGTGTTGGACTGTTATAGCGGAAATATGGGGATTGAGGCCAATGGGCGGCAGTGCAGGAGCATTGGAGCGTTGAAGAGCTCCTGTAGGACTATCCCCTTTACTTTTGTTGGGGAGTCCGACGGCGGGCCCGGTAGGCAGGACCGGGGACCAAGTGCCAAGTGAGAGCGGTCCTCCTCCCCCTCAACCGTTTTTATTGTTTTTTTATTTTTTTCTTTGTTATTTAATTATTATTATTACTCTTTCGTTTTTTTTCCGTATGGGGCCGGCCGTGAGGGCCAACAGCCTGATTCAGTGGATACACCACTGAACTGATGGAATACAGACACCGCACCCTTCGGGACATCCGGTAACATTGGGACGATACAGAGAAGTTTAGCATGGCCCCTGTGCTAGGATAGCACGTATAAAGTCGGGGAGCAAGCCAACACCCGGGCTTGGTGCGACACGGTGAGCGGCCGATCGCTACGCACCTCTCCCGACCGGGCAGACCATCGGGCCCTGCGTTGTTGGGGAGAGAAGGGGAGAGGATGAGCCTGATTGTTGAACTGCACTAGGCACGATC